AAGGGCTCTTTACCAAAAAAGTTTCTTATTGTCTACCTAAAAAAGCTTTGGTCTTCATTAGGGCGGGATACGCGTCCATTGAATGAGTTGACTTACTTGTTTCATACGGATTTGCAAGGGCAGCTGGACCAGCGGGGGTGGCTAAAGCCATTAAATCTTGAAAATTGGCATCTCCTATTATTATTATAGTTTTGTATCAATCTCTTCTTGGAATTTACTTAGCTAAGGCACCCACCGGATCTACAACTGCCGGGCAAACATCTTCCCATGTTGCAGAGAAAACACTTTTTTAGTAAAGGGGATAAACGAAAGAAAAAGGCCCTTTGTTCGCCCGCTTCGCTTAGCTCTCTCAAGCAAATTACCGTTGCTCGTGGACGAAGGGAGAACCCCAGTAGTACCGCGCGGGTAAGCTGTATTCTTTTTATGAACCTTAATTTCGACTCCAAGCCCGCTCTGAGTCTTTAGGAAAGATAGCTTCAAGTTGCGAAAGAAAGATTTCTCTATAGAGGTGTGCCATCTGACGATGGATTCGGTATTTCACAATAGTAGCCGGGATCAGAGAATTAGACAAAACCCCCTCCGGTCAGTAGATCCTACACCCAAAGTATGAATATAGATATGAGTACTTAACCAAGCTGGTTAATTCAATTCCAGGAAAGGGCGAAGACTTTTTCAACAGGCGCTAACCGATTCCAAAGATTCGAAAGCGATTCGCTTATGAATCTCCTATTGAAGAGTTATACTATGATCGCTCTGTGGTCCCCATGGGGAAGCCTCCCGGAAAGATGGAGATTGAGGCAATGATACAAGCTGCAGTAGAGCAGACCAATACGGGGGGAAACTTAGATTCAAGGATTTTTGCCGACATCAACCTGCGTGGGCCCATCAAGGAAGCGATGGTGCTAGGAGATTTCCGAACATTCCCTCAACTGTTTGAACGAGCTGCCCGCATGCAGAGGAGTATAAAAGACGGGTCTATCACTTTCCTCAGGAAAAGTTCTAATGGGGGAGAAGGCAGGCCGAAGAATACCCTAAGAACCCAGCAGCCAACTCAAGAGGTTACCATCACTCCGGATCAAATTAATGCGGTTCAAGCACAGCAGAATGCACAGAGACAACAGAGCACCCGGAATCAGCAAGCCATCCAGGGGGCCTGGAAAGCCATTTCTCTACCCAGAGATAAACCACTCCCCTGGCCTCCCGGTCTCGACTATTTTAAAATCTGTCCATTTCGCCGATACGCGGGCCATACCATCGAAGAGTGTCACACTTTGCGTGATGTCATCTATGACATGAATGATTAAAATCGTATCAATTGGAACGAAGTTAAGGCATACCTGAAAGCCGCCAATGTCACTGAAGCTAGTAATATGGGGATCTATACTAATCCAATGCCACAACATCAAGGGGGACAAGTCACTACTCAGGAACCTACACCGGTACAAACTAATCCCAGACCTTCTGCCAGCGCTAACACCATCCGAGCTTGCACTGCCGCTCGAAGAGAGATGCCTGTGAGACCCCCTCCAGTTCTGTAATTCGAAGGAGGTTCTGAGAATTCAAAACTCCGAAGTAACTTTCTTTGTCCCCAGGTTCCAAAAGCAGACGAAATCACTATGGAACCGGACCTCCTCGCTGCCGCTCAATTCATTACCAGGAAGGCAAATTTGCTTTTTTAGTATGGGTGGGTTGAAAAGGTGAAGAAGGAAGAATGTATCCGAACGAATGCATCGGCAGAAAAAATTACCCCTTTTTTAGAAATCCCCTCGTCACCTACTAGTGAGCCGGAAGGCTTAGGGACGCCTCTCGTTCCTCTTCCCCCATTTGACAACCGTATCTCAGAATGTTCGGATGATTCTCTGGAACTAATATATGCTTCAATACTAAAGAATGGGGATATCTCGTTGGGAAAAAGCGGAAGAAAAGGATTTCACGGGCAGAAAGGCGAAGGGAAGTTCGGAAAAGCCTAGCCGACGGGACTATCAACCCCTTTCTATTAAGACCTCGGCACCTTCCTTACCCCCCCTACTAAAAAATTTCCCCTATTTTGAAGCCCAGGTTCCGCATCTTAAAAAGTGCATGACCTGATTGGAAGCACTGAGGTTAATTCGCAATGGGCCAACTCACCCGGCCATGATGCGCATGACAGAAGAGAGCGAGCATAAAATGGAGTTTCCCCCTTGGGTGAGGCTCGCGTCCGGAAAGAATATTTTTCAAGACTTTCTCCCCACTTTCTCGTTCATTTCAAAATGCGGCATAGCGAGCTTCAGTCCCAGCCCGCTGCTGTCTCCTGGAATGGCCTGACTAACATCCCCGAATGGTATGATGGGCATTGTCCTTCCTCTTTTGATCGAAGTCCACGGGACGTAACCAACAATATCAACTAAATAAGCGGTTGTGAGCGAGTGTAGGACCTCCTATTCTTGCCCGGGGGTGAGAACTCCATCCCTAACCGTGGTGGGTTATAAAAGCCCCACTCTAACTTTCCTTCCAAGCCTACCTCCCGCCCTCTTTACCAGAACCGAACATGGAGCCTTAGCTTCCTGCGCTCCCTGCAATGCTTTGGACCCAGTCTTCTCTATGCATGCATTTAAGATTAAGAGAGAGAACTGCAATAAATCTCTTTAAATTTCTATAAACAGAATCGGATTTTTTCGAAGAGATATCCGCCAATGTCTCTTCTTTTGGAACGAAATCGGAATGATTGTTCTCAGAGATATGGCAATGGGACTGCTGTAAAGAAAGATTACTAGCATTGATATCATCATGAGTGGATTGATGAATCAATGTATTGAGAGCAGATGGAGCAGGATCATGAACGATCAAATCAGTGCTCGAAATCTCAATACAATTGTTCTGCCGGGAGTGCTTATTCAACTTCATTGATTGCCGTTGGGGAGGGATCCAAAGTTGGGTGGGTAGACGTCTCTTTATCTGAGGGCTGAATAACGATCTGGTTGTTCTGATGATTATCAATGGCTTTCGTGAGAATCTGAGGCCTTGAGTTTGGCCTTACTCATTTTAGGCTTGCCCTATTGTGTAAGGGTCTTTGTGAAAGGCTTTTTGAACCCTTTTTTGGTTTTTTCTCTTTTTTCCATAGGTTGAGGAAGATGTCCGCAACTTTAATTGTCGCGGCCTCGAAGCATGCAGTGGGAACAAAACTTAGGAACTCTCTCGTAGATGATTTTCCGCCATTTGCCTCCTGCACCCATTCCTAACCAGATCCGATTTGGCCTAGGCTTTAAGAGATCTATCTCCACGCAGACGCGAGCGTTATATTTGCGCAGTGGTCTGGCCACACCAACCCTATCGTTGGGCCATCGAATCTCAGAGCCCTACCTATCACCCCTGCAATAGATTTAAGGTAGTCTGGATTAAAGAAATTAAGGGGAAGGTTTAGGAGAGAGATCAAAAGTGGTGCAATAGAAGATTCAAACCGCAGATCAAACCAAGGAGACGAAATAATAAGCCTTAATGACGAGAGATTCCCTGGTCCAAGCTTGAATGAAATCTTCTTGTGATGATAACCTCATAATAACTGTCTTGGATCGAGTAATTCAATATGAACTTCGCTGTTCATCATCCAGTGAGTGCGAACATGAGGTCTAATCTCATCTACAGAGGATGGCCTGAGGATAACTTTGCTATCAAAGAAAAGCGTAATGGATCTACTGATCTGTGAATCTCATCATAACATAAGTGAAGCACACACCCCGGCTCTCCTTGATGAGAGATCGGGCTTTTAAAAGGGAAGGGGCCTATGTTGTAAAGGTGACAGACGAGAGTTTTTTTTCCACTATAGCTGCGTAAGACTTAGAAGAAGAAGGATCTGGTGGTCGGGATGAAGATCCTCCCATTAAAGAAGGGTTTGGCAGCAGTCAAAGTGGCCGGATCGACCGGCCGGAAAAACCAGCTACATCAGGAGAATCGGGAGGAGCATTCTACCCATAAAAGCCACTCCGGCCACTTTCTATTCCCCGTACGAATGATTGATTGAACGATGAGCCCGGACGACTGGGAGAGAGGCGCATCTGTCTGAATGATGAACGAGTAGCGGGCACTCCGTACTTCATTTCGTCGAATTCGAAATCTCTTTATCAAGATAGAATGAGTCAATGCGCATTCCCTGATAAGATGTTTGTACATATTCCAGATCAGCCAAATTCTGCCGTTACCGGCTTCATTCTCCACAGTAATGGCTTTACTACAATCCTTTCCTAAGCATCTGGTAATTCTGGCCGCCTTTCCACTCCTCACTTTGGTTTCCACCAAGCCAATCAAATCTTCCTCTTGCGCTCTTATATAATCTTTGGCCTCTCTCTGCTTCTCGACTTTACCGATCCTTCTTCCATTCCAAGGACCTTCATGTGGAACTGTTGTTGTTTTCACATCCCCCTCGCGCCTTAGCGCTGCCTCTGGTTTTTCGTCTTGTGTAGCCCTTATTTGTCTTTTGTTCTTTGGCCTTGACTTTCCCCTTCCCCCCTCTTTCTTAGAATTCTACATCTCTGATATGTTTTGCATTTTGTTCGCCCACTCTTCATTCAGGGTGGTTAGAACCAGGGGAGGATCTTCCGCCTTTAAGGTCATAGCACCAGCACCTGAACGCTTACTCTTACTGCTCTTCTCAGGTTCACCTCTTTTCTTACGATTGGCTGCCCTGGGGTTCTTGTTTGGAGTCATTTGTTTATCACAGAACAAGTCCCCCTCAGTCACTGTCATAGTTGACCCGGTATCAACCCTCTCTTCCAGATCCTCGCTTCTATGGGCCAAATCACTCTCCTCGGGAGTTATCCCCTTGACTACACCCTTCTCGGCTTTGTTACCCAGACACTCATCCTGCGCAATCTCTTCCGGTTCAGAAGTGTCCAGATCTGGCATCTTTGCCTCTTATTGTTCAGGGTCCTCTAGAACCGCAAAACGGTTCGGGCTGACTAGGTCCAGTTGGGTCATTCCACTAGCACAACTAGTGTCCAGCTCCCCCCTTTGCCATTGTCACTACTGGTACCTGACCCCGTCGGCTCGACATTTTTGCAAACACCGACCCTTACTCAATAGGGCAATGAAAAGAGGAGAACGAGGACAGCTGACTACCGCTAAAAGTCAGACTTCGAGTACACATTGTATGATTAAAAACTGCCGCTGCGTACTACCGGTCTGACTGGTGCCTTCTCTCCAACAGCTGCTTTAATCAATGTTAAGTCTGACTACGAGGCTTCTTAGCCTGCAACTGACTACTTATTGAAAGACCGAACAGGAAATAAAAAGTCGTACTACAACAACTGTAAATATTACCTCCCTGCTCTTACTTTGATCGACTTGCCCACACAGCGTCTTTAGAGGTCAGGGGGCTAAGTGACTCTCGAAAGTCGTCTTTTGTATCGCGTCAAGAGAAATGACATAGAGAAGATCATTGCTTGAAGAGTTTCATTGTCGAATTGATCTCGGAATTGGATCTCAATAGTTGCTGCTGCCCAAGGGTGCTTTATGAAAGCCGGTCCACAGCAGTGAAAGTACGATGGATTCCGTCGATCGAACGAAAACCGCTTCTTGCTTTTTTTTGCCTCTCTGGCTTGACTACTCTGCTTGCTTAACACAAGTGTGATTTAACCTTCACGGACCACTGCACTACCCAGAAAGCTCCGGCTCGAAAGCAACAAGCAAGGGATTGAGCTGCGCGAAAGCCGTTGCGCTAACGCGCATCCGTTTTCTTGCTCGTTAGCGCTTTAGTTATTGAAAACTCAAGGAAAGCCTTACTCTTTAAAGTAAGCAAGTAAACTACCTTTCTTTTGTAGTAAGCCCTTACCTAGTGGGTCTTTCCGTTGCGGCTGGATCGACTGAAACTGCCTTAACTACTGCCTCAGGTGGATCAACTACAATTGGCTCTTCAGAGGATCAGTAGGTTCCGAATCAACCCCGTCCCCTTACTCTCGATCCTGATATAGGCAACAAACGAAAATGGGATATGGCACTCAATCTGCACTTGATGGTACGCGGGATCCTTCAACTAAACCGGCACTTAGAATTGGCTTCCGGATTTCGATCAATCAGTGAACAGTAGAAAGAATTCCATGGGCACAGGTGAAAGAACAAGATCTGGCACTGGGGAAAGAAGCCCCGGGGGAACAGAAATCAGTCTTACCTCCACATCGCGGGTGCCCCGCTTTAGTAATAGCATAGCACCTTCTGGCAGCAACTATAACTGTGTTAAAAACCCAATTCCGTCCTAGTAGACAGCGGAAAAAGTCCTTGATCCACGGAATCATTCCTACTTTTACCGCTAAGTGACCCATCTTAGTAAGCATAAGCACTTTCGGCAACAGCTGCTATTGCAGTCAACCGGGCGAGCCATCTACTAAAAAAAGGAGAACTGGGACCTTTTCTTTTATAACTTTAGAGCAGTTTGACTAATCTATCTTAACCTCATACTTTATGCTTTTCCTGTCCGTCTAGAATCCTACTTCTCCTTCGGAGCCTTTTGAGCCTCTCCTTCGGAGCCTTACTCAAGCATAAGTGCAAGTAAACTACCTTCCCCTTAGTCATCAAACGGGGGAGCCGTTCTTCTTTCGTGTATTTAGCGGTGAACCAGGCGTACGCTACTTAATGTTAATGAATCTTCGGGGGGCGTTAAAGAATAGCAATAATCGCTGAATCTACTTGCTCGACTGAAAGGGGAGCGGTTTTCCGCCGTTGGTTTTTCTCTGAATCCTACTACTTTTTCCCCTCCCTTACTGCTCAGATGTGAATTCCAATTCTTATTCGTCAGAAGATTCTTGATTAACTGGATCAAGTGATTCAGCCAAGACTTCCATAGAAGACCAAAGACGCCATACTTTCTTTTTCTCTCCGAGCAGCTTTCGCTCCCGTTGATCCGATCGATCCGAACCTCACCGACTGATATTTCTCTTGTCTTGGGGATGCCCAACCTTTAGGTCGGATAGAAACAAGGGCATTTCTTTCCTCTCCCGCTGGTTAACCCTTATCCCTATTCCTATTCCTATAGTAGCTTTATTCCTTATGCCTTATGTGTAACGAAACTGGAAAAAGAATGAATTGGCCTTTCAGCCAAAAACAACGAAACGCTTTTCTGCACAAACATAGTTCACTACTTCAGAACCAAATGTGTGTCTTATCTTTTTTTCTTTCCGCGTTAGGAGTCAAATGGGAGTTGATGGGAGTCGAAGAATCGTACAATCTCTTGGCTAACCTTTCCTCAGTCTCAGCTACTGGAATACTAGATCCATCCCCAGACGGCACAAGTCTATAGAGAAAGCTTTATTCCACGACTTGGAGATTGCATGTTGGGGCGTCTTAGCAAGCCTTATAAAAGTGGCACAAGTGCTCATAGAATGACTTTGCCTGTCTGAGATATCCTTTGATTCACCTACTTCAATCAGATCTGCACCAATGGCAAAAGCAGCTACAAGATAGGAGGAGTTAGAAGGTTCCGTTGTGGGATTGATCAGAAGATTAGGGAGTAACTCACTTAGTGCTCTTATGCCAAGGAGTCGCTTCTAGTACATATCTCTTCCAAACCTTGATACGAAATAGCCCCCTCTTCTCTAACAAGTCTTTTTCGGGAGAACTGCATGCTCCACGAAGGGCGTAGACCGACCGATCAGTTGAATCAAAGTCATGCTTTCACCTTGCAGTCCCTGCGGTTCCACCACGGCATTCTGATTGGTAAGTTAAGTACGGTTCTGATCAGTGCAATGGGCGGGAAATACATTTGAATAACCCTTTTTTATTGATAGTGGCATTTATTGAGAAGAGTGGGTCTCGATCAGCTTAGAAATATAAAAAAGGCCTATTTCTGATGCCCACTTTCTGGTGACCTGAGCTTGCCTTGAGCCTTTACTTGCTTCTGAAGCAACCCCGCTGCTTGATCCGGCCGAGGAACATATAGTATAGTTCCACGATGCGCATTGACTTGTTTAGCTCTCTTTTGTAACAACTGGGAATTTGCTCACTTGCTTCTTGGAAAATAGACGTTTCTGTCTTCCACCGGCCCATTATAAAGTTGGGGGTGAGTGGTTTACTTCTTCCTAGTGAACTGACTAAACCTACTTAATGGCTAGCGGGATTCTGCATTCAATCGGAGTTGCCTTAGTTGGTTTCCGAAGGGAAGGCACTCAAGATTCTATATAGTAGTTTATGCCGCTTCAAGAAGCATTAGAATCCCTTATTTAACTTACAGGGCAATCAAGGAATAGAAGCTACCATCCTAGGGGGAGGATCTATTATCTCTCTACCCAGCTCCTCGTCTAGCAGCCAAGAACAAGAGAGCTACTTAACTCAGGTCAGATGAGAAAACCAACCCTAGGAGAGGGGAGAAGTAGCTCGACTGAAAGGAGAGGGGCTCAATAAGATAAGTTAATCGGAGTTCCCGGAAGGAGGTCCCACCATTTACTTGACTCTTAGAACGCTTTGGGCAACGGGGATCAACTTCCAGGACAGGAAAGGGCGATCCATCTATTTATTTGACCCTAGTTCACGAGAAGGAGTCCTAGGGATAGACCCGCACCGAGAAGAAATCAATAGAATCGTCTAAATAATTCAAATCAGAAATTTTTCTGCACGACTAGAACAGAGCAGATTTTTATTCTTCTTCATTCCAGCACTACAGTTTTTATACATAGGAGTACATCCAATAGAAAGCTTACACATGGACAACTTTCAGCCACACAACATTACAAAGTTAACTAACAACATATTAAGATTAAGTTAACAAAAGACATAGAACTTAATTAAACATAATAATGAACAGTGCTGGAAACTGAGCTAAGCACTTGTTAATTTCTTCCAGTCTCCCCAGTGGGTGGGTCACGGAGGATGGCAACCTCCACAAGGAGCCCCTCCCGTTCTTGGAGCAGCGCCCTCTTCCTGTTTTCGAGAGTGCGTATTTCGTTCTGGAGAAAAAGCATACGATCTCGTATGATAATTGGATCGATAGCAGGCAGATGTTCCCAGAACGCACCCAGCGTTTGCTCCCGTTGGAGCTTCTGGTTTTCCACCTGACGTATTTGTTGCTCAATTATCGCAAGTCTGCTAGCGATATCCATGGCTACTCAAAGCTCTTTCTTGCCGACTTCTAAGTTCCCTTTGCCAAAGAGAGACCGAAAGAAGCTTCTATTTATAGGCGTTGGAGGCCCTTAACCCTTTTTTTATTAGTAAGATAGGTTGTCTTGGTTCCGTAACATGGATCATTTCAAACCTGGCTTTTCATGAATATTGAACCCATCCACTAGATTTTAGTGCGCTCAATAATTCTCCCTTGAGTACGAAAGGCCCTCCCCAAAGAGCGAATAGTCCTTTTTTTTTCGCGGGTATCGCCACGCAACCCCGATCACCCCCTCAGGAATAGGAGGCAATAATAGAGCGCCCACGCGAAGCGTCAATTCTGTCAGAGAGTACCCCCGGGTTCCAAACCCCCTTTAAGAGATAGGGCAATCGTCACTCGCCAGCTCCGTCCTCGCTTAGGAAAAAGATGTTTGGCCTACCTCGCAGATGGATCTGATCAGACGCTTGCTTTTTCCCGCGTGCTTGTTTGAATGCTATTATTTCTACAACTATAGATTTGGAGCCAATCAGGTATCACCGCGTGTCAAACTGTGTCAGGCGGGAGACAGAAGAAATATTCAGCTGATTCCTTTCCAATGAGAACTAGACACGCGTCCCATATCCCGGGGGACCCTACGGAGAGCTTATCTTTATTTCTCCTTCAAGCACTTTCGTGGAAGAGACCATTTCTTAGATGGAGAGATGAACGCACAAACAAATAATAAAGACTATGACTGGTTCTCACGATCCTAAGTATAAGCCTAATGCCTTAACTCTTTAGCTCTAAAAAGGGGTTGCTTACCGGAACTTAGCTTACTCTGATCTACGAGCACCCTTCTCTCCCTGAGGGCCCATTAAAGCTTAAAGACCAGGACTTATAAGGTCCATGCCCCCTTAAACTCTATCATTGTCGGCGAATCGCGAAAAGGCTTTCGTTGCCTTCCCGTTTGTAAACCCTTGTTTGTAGAATCCTTCTGTCTCCCACGTAGGTGGACTCTAAGGTGGTTGAAGCAGCTACAGTTACTCTACGGACCGAGAGGTGTACTTCGTACCGCCTGTATTCTATGTGTATGGTAGTATTCGTACTATTTAGAACCATTTCTACTCATCGATTAGAATCTCAAGACGAAAAAAGGCTTTCTCCTCATCTCCGAAAACGGACTGAGAGCTCGTTTAAGCACGAAAAAAAATGGAGTTTACAACCCAATTGTGTACCCGCTCTTCACGCCGGATATCAGTACATATTTTGAGCTTCTGAAGCAACCTAAAAAGGAGAAGAATGGGGTTTTTAAGGGGAGACAGAAACTTCTTCAAATAATTCCGTTTTCCCCGGTAAAAATGGATGAAATCCTCAATTCCCTTTACGACGACCAAAAAACCTTGAAAAAAGCTTGTTTTCCCGGGATTTTTTATAGGAATAGGGGTTCCAGTAAGTGTGGAGATCAAGAAAATGAACAAAGAATCCTTACGTAAAAAAAGTGGATTTTCCCGTGTTTTTTAATAGGTGCTGAAACCAAAAAACATCCAGAAGAAAGAAGAGAACCGCCCTCATGGTGGATTTGGATCCAGATCCTCTCCCGGCGTTTCCACCAACTAACTTCGATATTTGATATTTCTAGCAGTGGACTGAAGTACGTATTTCATAAGTAGGGCGGCCCTCCATCTGAAAAAACGTAGCCGTAAACGTAGATTTGAAGAAGTTATGTTGTCGAATACTATATTACACTAGCAATTTCAGGTGATGCATTGGGGTTTGGAATCGACTATTTTTCAATGGCCACCCTTTCTTTGAACCTTGTCAATGATCGAACTTAAAGATATGAACTGAGTGCCATTTGATGAGTAACTGAGAACAAGGGAGAGGGATATGGAAAGGATGAAGTAATGAAAGAGGAAGTCATTGCTAGTAGTAACGACTTGTCACGATCCATTGGTTCATATAGAATCCATGTCCTAGGCGTATCAAAAAACATTCTTTTCGCTAAGCGTATATAATAAAATAGAGTGAAAGGGTCCACCCCGAAACCAAGGGGGTTCTAACTAACAGCTGAGTCCTCTCCGAACCGCAGGAGATAGTTGCCCATCATACGGCTCACTAACTTCACTTGCCTCTATGGGAGGCTCGCTCCGGGCGGGTTCGGATCACTTACAATGCACGGCTCTACGAAGGAAGGGGTTGGTGGGTTAGGAACGTTTTCAATATGATTCTTTTTCCGTATTTGTTCTATGACAAATGCGAGACGAAAAAGGAACCCGACTGGGAAATGCGAGTCTGTTTTGTCCACTTTCTCCATCCCCCTCTATCAAAAAAAGGACAGCGAGCTTGCTTCTTATTCCCGTGTTCGATCTCTTCCATCTCTGCCCCGCTCGTTGTCACCTATGTTGAAGAAAGGGTTGGAACCCTGTAGAGAATGAAAAGGAGCCAAGGTTCTTCCTCTCAACAGTGCTTCTCGAGGCTCTACTCTCCCCCCTGAATAAGTAAGGCCCCGCTAGCCTGGGCGAAGATGGGGATAAGGAATAAGGATTGAAGCCCCCTTAGCTCTGCCAGGGACTGGGCAGGGGTTAGCTCTGTAAATGTGTAGAGCCAAGTGTAGTGTGGTATAGTAGTAGGCACTTCTAGGCCCCTTCCCGGCTACTGGATCACTCCAGCGCTTTGGGTACTACGGACCCTCTGCCATCCATTGCAGCAGAGCCGTTTCATGAGCGGGGGGGCTAAGCGCAGTTCTTTGAATCAAACGTTGAATGAAATCGATTCTTTTTTAGATATCAAAATCGAAATCAGATAGGATAGATGGATGGATCTATCTTTCTATTCATATATATTACTAAAACAAAAAATTTATTTTTTTATATAGTTAAGTAGCGTAGCAAGAAGCCCCAAATCCTTGATTTGGCCAGGAAAGACTGCACTGCTTTGGGCCCAGGAAGCGAAGGGAATGAGCTCGGGCTGCTTCTCCTCCACACTTTTTTTTCTCCGTGCCCGTTCCGCATGCGCTTCGCGTGCCATTGGCGCTTCGCTCTCCTCTTTATTCTTCATTGGACGGTTCGGATGGACTTCGCCGTTCTTTACCAACTAAAATAGAAAAGGCTGTATCACATCGAGATGTCTATTCGTTTTCCGCCCCCAATGAGATGGAGAATTTGTAACCCCCCATTTATACTGTACCTTTTGGCCCTTCATCTTTCTGAATCGAGGCCCGGCCCGGCTCGCGTCGTTCCAACAACCGGCGGGGAGCACCTCAGTATACGATCGCGCACAGTAACTGGGAGTCCCTATTACACCTAAGGTCAACTTCAATTCACCAAACCAAGGTTCATCTCGTGTAGTGATTGTGGACTCATACAAGGATATTGAGTAGACGGCTGATGTATCAGACTCGACTCTATCTTTCGTAGCATGCATTCCCATCCGTGTCGCAACTGGATTCGATAAGCTACGTGTCCGGTGCACGGAGAACTGCCTTCGGTCCCCCAAACTGACTTACTCGTGGCAACCTTCCGGCCGCCCAACGACCTATAACGCTAGTCACTACTCCCACTGGGGCTAGGAAGTAAGCCCCACAACCCAAAGCGGCGAAGAACAAATAGAATTTGCTACAAAAGCCGGCTAACGGGGGTATTCCTGCGTATGAGAACATAGTAATAGAGAAGGTAATAGCCGAAATAGGATTCGTTTTGGCTAGAGCGCCCAAATCCGCTATATATTTGACACGGGTTTGCCGTAATGCTAAAACTATGGCGAATGCATCTATCGTCATTAATGCATAAATAAAGATACCAATTAGTAGTGATTGAATTCCTTCTATGGTTCCACATGATAAACCGGTACGAATATAACCTACATGTCCAATTGAACTATGAGCTAGAGGTCTTTTTACTTTCGTTTGGGCCATGGCGGCCAGTGCTCCTAAGATCATAGAAGCAATGCTGCAGAAAAAGAAGATTTGTTGCAATGTAGCTCCATAGGAACCATAAATAGAAACACGTGAAATATTTGCAGAAATAGAAATTTTAGGCGCAATAGAAAGGAATGCTGTAACCGGGGTGGGTGAACCCTCATAGATATCAGGTGCCCACATATATAGAGTCAAAAGAGATGTGGAGTCCGAAGGGGAGGGGGTTTTCTTCGGGGCTCGAGAGAGGGAATAAATAGATAGGAGGGCCCCGCAAGTTTTTAATTCGTTGCAGGGGAATTTACACGAAAGGGAACGAGGAATTCTCAACGAAAAAAGTGCTCTCTGAACCGAACGTGAAAGTAGTTTTCCATCAGACGGCTGTTCCCGTAACTCCACTCTCGACTTGGATTATATATCCAAAAAGGTCCGCTCTCGGCCATTCGACACGCTGCCTAGCAGAGGAGTGGTTATCTGAAGCGGATTCTCTCTTTTCTAGTAGATGCCGAACCTGCTGCCCCATTGACTAAGAAGGGGGCGGGCGCAGCAGCTACATGGACCCCTTCCTTTCTGTTGTTGCCAGCGCTTTCCCGGGCCGAGCCGGAATTTTTTTTTTAAGGGCAGGCAAAGCCCGAAGGCTGCTATCCCAATAGGCCAGCGGGCGGAACGAGGAGAGGGCCCGGCAATCATACTACCGCGGTCGAAAAAGCGTGTTCCCCTCAGATAATACGCACCGTAGGCCATCCTCGGCCTTCTTCGTTTTCGATGAAAAACAAATAAAATCTCTATCTCCGAAAGCGTTTTCCTTCCCCCTCCCTTCGTCGAGCCTTTCCTTTAATGGTTGGGGAAAGCATTCCCTTATCTGAACTTGGCGGGCATTCCGCCTTAGTAAAAAAAAAAATATAAAAAATAGGGCGGTTTGAACATAGGCTCAAACATGATTTGAAGGTCCTAGCTACGCCATGCGTTCAATACAAAATCTGGAAAGCTGCAGGTTTGACAAAACAAAAAGAGGGCGCTTTCCTGTGTTGCACTGAAAAAAAGGACCTAAGAGAAGAGCGTCCTCTCTTAGGTTTCTTACTCCCGCGCCCGGCCCGCGTTAGAGGGGAAGATTAGCAAAGCGAGAAGACAGAGGGGGGGGGGGGGGGGGGGGGGGGGGAGCATCTTATTCTCTTCGCGAGAACTTCCGGGTCGGAGAAGCATTCGGAACGGGCTCCGCGTTCATTTCGTTGGCAGAAACGATCCAATCCATTCGGGGCTTCGGGGAACCCAAAAGCGAAGTCTTTCGACTTGATTCATAGATAGAATCAATGATAGATAAACAAAAGATAGATGAACGAGATATCTTTTTTTTTAGAGAAAAAAAGAGGAATAGAATAGACATCCCCTTAGATGTCTATGCATCCTTTAGCATCTCCCGATTTTTTTTTATATCGTTATATCTGCCCTCTCTCCATTTTTTTGAGAGAGAGCAGATGGATCCTATCCCCTATATCGAACACTAAATCCTATCTATTGATAGAAAGATCTTCGTCAAATACCGGACTTTGCCTTTTTTTAGGAATTCCTCATATCCAAGGCAGCTTACCACAAGCACCCCATACGACTAGTTGGGGGGGCTGTTTGATAGTGACTTCTTTCGTTTGGTAGGGTGACGAAAGGCTACTTCAATCTAGGAAACAGCCGGAAACTCGAGAGGGTCGCCTTTGGAAGCGCTCGCCGGTAACCAAAGTGTCACTCCTTCTTGATTATGTCGTGACGCTGACTGAATCCAATCCATAAGCCCGGAAACGAAACAAAGTTCGTTCCCTTTCGTTCAAGTAGGTAAAGTAGGCATACGAATCACTTTTGCTTTGCCTTAGACTCTATTGGAACAAAGAAAGAAGGGGGCGGAATGGAGAAAGGAAGGGGACAAGGGCGGTCTTGCTTGGCGCGAAGGCTGCTGGTTCGGGGGTAGGGTACGGTACTAAAGGTCCTCGGACTTCCAGGCGGTTTTTCTTTTGGGCAGCTGTTCACCGTTGGATCTCGCCAATACAGCCCCCTATAGTTT